TGCCGCGCAGACAGGGCGAAGGCCCGGAAGCCCGAGGACCTGTGCGTGCGGCGCCGGACGGCGCGGATGCGGCTGACCCAGTACGCGGCCCACAACACCTACCACCACTGCGAGCAGTGCCACCAGTACATGGGCTTCCACCCCCGGCACCAGGTGGGCGCGGCCGCGGGCGTCTCGGCGGCGCGGGGCGGGCGCTCTGGGGGGCCCGGACCCTGAGGCAGGCTCTGTGCTTGCCCCAGCTCTACGAGTCCTCCCTGCACGCCTTCGCCTTCTCTTACTCCATGCTGGGGGAGGAGATCCAGCTGCACTTCATCATCCCCAAGTCCAAGGAGCACCACTTCGTCTTCAGCCAGCCTGGAGGCCAGCTGGAGAGCATGCGGCTGCCCCTGGTCACAGACAAGGTACTGGCCGGGCCGAGTGGCCGCTGGGTCTTGGGGACCTCGCGGGGGCAGCCGCCCGGGAGTCGCGGGCAGGCGGGGCTCGGACTCGGAGGGGCCAGCCACACGCGGCGGGGGGGGCCCCTCTCTGACGGCGGTGTGGCTCCCGGCCCCCCGAGTCACGTGCCTGAGCTGGACGTGCGGTTAAGGGCAAACCACGGCGGCGTCAGAGCCTGGAGGCGAGCAGGAGTCAGGTCCAGCAGGCAGAGGAAGGGAGGGCCTCCTGGCTGCAGGGAAGGGGCTGCGCTGGCTTGGGGACGGGGTCGGGAGCGAGGCAGCTGAGCTCGCTGGCCGGAGGGCAGGGCAGGCCCAGGGCGGCGGGCTGGTGGGCGGCACGGAGCGGCCCCGAGCGCTGTGCCCGTGGCTGCCGTGAGGCCTGTCTTCAGGTGACCGGGGTTGTCCTCTGCGTGCACCCCAGCCACCGTGTTCCCGGTCCCCAGTGGTCTCCGAGCTCTGCCGTCGTGCTCTAGGGTCTGAGACCGCCCCTGGCCGGTGTCGGTCATCTGAACTTGTCCCGTCTCCCCGAGTTTACCGAGGTGTGAACTGGCGCGACATGGGCCCCTGACGCGCTTCCTGTGACGATGTGGTGGCTGGACGGTGACAGAGTGCACGGTCCGCTGCTCCCGCAGCTTTTGTCTGCTGGGCTGGACCGCGGGGTGGCGAGAAAGGCGGCCCCCAGGCCCACCCCCGGGACCGCGGAACCCCAGCCTCCTGTCCTCCGCCTCACCGTTTTGAGTCTCGCGCCTGGTACTGTTTCATCCAAGTACTG